ATGATAACAGCTCACACACACACACACACACACACACACACACACACACACACATAAGGATATTTATAAATACCATATATTATAGCATTTATTAATATACCATGTGGTAATGAAGTAATAGTGTGAACAATATCAAGTATTATTATAACACTATAAATTAACTATACTATTAAATTATATATTTTAGTATATATTATATATAATAATCCATTATGTAGTGTGTGTATATAGATAGGTAGATAGATATAGCATTATATGTATTATATATTATACTATTTGATATTAATGGTATAAATAGTATGAATAAAATAATGGCGTATTAAAATGTACCGATATAACGTTGACACAGCCTCTGTGGTATAGTCAGTAGTGAACAAGGCTGAGGAACTAGAAGCTACATGTGGACTGTGACTTGAGTCCCCAACCTGTAAGCCTGAAAACTTGGTGTCCAGGATCCTGCTGGGCTGGTGGACTGGAGAAAGGAGATAGCAGCATGACGGAGCCCTGTGGAGGGTGCTACTGTATTGCTCATGTACTCTATCATACGTGTGCGTGCGTGCGTGCGTGTGTGTGTGTCTGTGTGTATAAAGCAGTGAGAACTACAGACTAAATCTGCATCCCGAGTGTAGCTCTTCAAGGCAGGCCTGCTGTGGGGCCCAGGCTTGTTGATCTTGGTCAGCAGGAGGAAGAGAAGTGAGGGGCAAAACTTTGGAAGCACCCAACTGTCCCCAGCACAGGAGTATCTACAGGGAGGAAAATGCACAGTAGCCATGTTGCCTTCCTCATGGGCCTCCTGTCCCCCCTCTCCTCTCTAGTTCTGGATTTTTAACTCTTCAGCATTTGTCCTGTGTAGCTCCCAAGAGGAAGCTGGTGAACTCCTGGTACAACGTGACTGTGCTGGTGAAAATGGACTTTCGGGAACTGGAGAAAGTGGACCCCAGACTCCTGAACCACACACGCCTTCTCTACTCCTTGGTAGGTGAGGATGGGGCACACCTGCACATTCCTTTCCATGCTTGCTGCTCAGGTGGGCCAGGTGTGGGAGCATGGACGGGAACTGGGGGCTGGGGAGGGTGACATCCTCCAGAGGCCTCACAATGATGGACTCTGAACCAAATTTGAGGTATAATTTACATGCAGTAAAATGCACCCAGTTGAAGTGTGGAGTTTGATGAGTTTTGCTATATGTATCCTCGTAAGCCATTCCCTTATGTATAGAGCATGGAATCCTTAAACTTGAGATAATCTGTTACTTAAACAGAAGGGTGTCCTGGTAAAGACCCTGAACCGTGCCCTCTCTAACCTCATTCCCAATCCCTGAAGCTCTAGTTCCTGTTTTATGGAATTCTGCACCATTCTAGAGAGTGCTGGGGGAGGACTCTGGGGAACATGGGGTCTCTACTCTGATGCCCTTTGGGGATATCTCTCTGGTGCATCACAGGGCAGTTAGCAGCATCTCTAGCTCTACACATGAGAAGCCAGAGACATCCTCCTGTTGTGACAACCCAGATCATCTGCAGACATTGCTCACTGCCCTCCAGGGCATAATTGCCCTGACCAAGAGCCACCGATGACACAGTTCAGGCTCTTTGGTATGTCAGCAGCAACTGTCAGTAAGACTCTCATCTGGGGAGTCACCATTAGTCTTGTGGTCTCAGCAATGGTCAGGACTTGGCATCACCCTAAGGTGGCCCCTATATCTATATCTATGGATATCTATGTACATATGAATATATATATGTGGATATATATATATATATAGAGAGAGAGAGAGAGAGAGACGTATGGATATCTATCTATCTATAGAGAGATACGTGTGGGTATATATATATACACACATATATCCATATCCATAAATATATCTGTGTGTGTGTATGTGTATATATATATATATACATATAGTGAATTTCCAGAATGCATGCATGTGCACCAACCAAAAAGAGAGAGAGCAATGAAGAGACAGAGAGAGGGAGAAAGTGCTTCCCCAGTGGTTGTGGTCATGACGTAATCTCTTCCATTTCTCCGTCTTGTTGAGGTTTGGGGCATGTATGCACAGGTGCCTGGCATGTTTTTCAAGCCACCAGGGCCAAAATTTAAGCCATTGTCAGTCATGTGAGATCTGGCTCCCTTAACCATTAGGCCATGGGGCTGGCCCAATGTCTTTGCATATTTAGTTCTTTTTGAATAAGAAGCTCCACATTTCATCTGCACCTTATGGATATGTCCTGCCTGTCCTTCAGGACTCATGGTGTATCTCTCATGTGCCTGGATGTCACGCTGTCAGATTCAGGCTTAGGTTGCTCCCTGGTCTTTGGGCCAGCTGACTGGGTAGGCTGAGAACAGATGGTACACACTCTGGCCTTGTTCTGGGCTGCTGTCCACAGTTTAAGAGGTACTTGTAACCTCACTTTTGTCAAGGTCCCTTTAACTGCCCCAGCAGGGTATGATTTCTGTTTCTTCTTAGCTTGTTGAGGAGCTGTCCAGTTGGCCATGAGAACACAGTTCTGGAGCCTCACTGCCTGGGTTCAAATCCCAGTGTTGCCTTTTGTTGACTATGTGACCCTGGGCAAGTTACTTAATTTTTTTGTGCCTTAGATACCTCCTCCATTAAATAGAAATAACCAGAATACTGCCCAGGACCTTGGCTGTGGAGTGTAAATAGTGCACACTAAAGAACATAAAACAGCTCTTTTTAAAGTTATTATTTTTTTAACATTTGATTGCTATACAACATTTGACTTGTAAAGAGAATTTACCCAACACGAAATACATCTCAGACAAATCCAGTTGAGAATAATATACACGTTAACATCAATAGGTAGTAAACCATTTCTGTGTCCCACAAATGTCTCGCCTCACTGTTTTTTCTCCCTGATCTCCTTCCCTATACTCTTTCTTTCCCCCACCCTCCTTCCACACTGTCTTCAGCATTCATAACTAACAACTCTTAACACGTGGTTTCTGAGATGTTGCAGTGGTCTGCATTGTTTCTTTTTTTAGAATTATTGTATCAACTTTTATTTATTTATATTTATCTATTTTAATTTGACCAGAGAGGGTCAGAATGAGAGAAAGAGAGAGAGAGGAGAGAGAGGGAGAGAGAGGAGAGAGAGAGAGAGAGAGAGAGAGAGAGAGAGAAGGAAAGAGAGAAATCAAGCTATCAGATCCAGGACTTGAACTGTGCCACATAGGAGCCCAACGCCCTTAACCATCACACCAACTGCCAGCCCTAGTCAGTGTTTTAAATATTGTTGTAAACTGCCCGTTTTCTTCTCATCTGTGTAGGTTTTGTTTCTCCAGCCAGATTATTACCTCCCCATGGAGCACACCTGCCTGGCTCAGGATCTCGGCTGTAGCAGGTGCCAGGCTCTGACACTTATTTCTGCTCCTGAATAAAAGGCTCTGACATGGCAGGGGGTGGTTCTCTGTCCTGCCTTCTTAATTATGGGCTGCATCTGCTCCCAATAGGGCCTTCGAAATTATGCTATTGGGGGGATGCTTCCTCTGTGGTTCCCAGTGGAGACCGGGGGATTTGCTGGCAAAATCTGCCTTAGTATTGCATGTCTGGCTGTGTGGTTGCTGATTTGCCAGGCTTCCCAAGGGTCAAGATCCAAGATATTAGGCTGAAATGAAAAGAATTCATATGAAATGAGAAAAGAGAATGTTAAACCTAAAAAAAAAAAAGAAAAGAAAAAAAGTCAGATGGGGACAACGTGAGAACATGGCTTTGATCTCTAATTCTCCAATCCTAATTAATTCTCTCTGTTGTCAACTGCAAACTTGCTGTGATCTTAGCAAGGGTAGGGAAAACTGGGGAAGACTGCTGTATGAGATTCCTGTGGCTACGATACAAAGTGCCTCTGATTGGGGGACTGTGAAATCGGAAATTCACTCTCTCACAGTCTGAGAAGGCCAAAATCAGTGTGTCTGTAGGGCCAGTTCCTCCTGAATCTGCAACAGCTCTCGGCTTCACCTTCTCTCTCATCCTTGCAGATGGCATCTTCTCTGTATGTCTCTTAATGGTGTCCTTCCTCTATATACATTTGGCTCTGTGTCCACCTTCCCCCTTTTTCTGAGAATACCAGTCATATGGCTAAGAACCTGCCCTAATGCCCCTATCTTCACTAGTTACATCTACAGTGTCTGTATTTCCAAATAAGATTACACTCTGAGGTCCTGGGATATGTTCAGTTCCACATATGAATTTTGTGATAGACACAGTTTAATCCATAACAACTGGCATTGCACTAGTATTTATAATTCTGTTTTTCACTTTTATTGCGTTGATCACAGATACAAACGTACTGTAGAAGTTCTAAGACAGAGTGATGTGTGTGTGTGTGTGTGTGTGTGTGTGTGTGTGTGTGTATAATTAATTTCAGCTCCAGGGGACCTCCGTCTTCTCATCTGTCCAAAGGGGGAGCCCCTCTACCATGTGATGATCTATTTCTGGCTTCACAGGTCACCAACTCTATGCAACCCCTGAACTCCACTGTTCATCACCTGCACTCAGCCAGTGGGGACACCTCTACCACAGTGTCGCAGCTGCTGCTGGGCCTGCCACAGCCATTGCCTGTGGCTAATGTCTCTGCCATGCTGGATGATATCACAAAGCGCGTCTATGAAGTGATCAACATCCAGGTGCAAGGTTGTGCTCCTCCCTGGTCCTTTCTTTGGGGTGGGGGCTGCAGCAAGCGACCCAATGGTGAAGTGCAAGGCAGACTCTCAAGTTAGACCACCCTTCAGACTGTGAATGGGGTTAAGTTCAAGAGTGGAGAATAACTGGCTCAAGTGTGTTAATCCCAGAAGTGGGGTGGTCAGACCCATCTTGAGGTCATTTTGCCCAAACTAAATTCAAACTCAAGTTCCCAAGTATAGATTGTGACAGCCTGTTTGGTTTCAACACCACTTTTCTTTTCCCTTTATGGGTCACATGAAAGCAGCTTGTTTCTTTTGCTCATCAGGTCCCTAAATTTTCCTCTTGCCCCTTTCCTGCCCTCACTGAGCACATCCTTGGGCCTAGAAGGCTCTTTCAGC